CCTGATCTTAGGCCCGACCGCCCGCGTAAATTTGAACCCCGCTTGAGCCGATCCTGCAGGAAGCCTCTGCGCTTGCCCGCCACGGCTCGTCGAACCGCCTGCCCATGTAGCCCATGCCCAAGGTTGTGCATGCGCCGTTGCTCGGGATGGCGCAATAACCCACTGACTCGTGAGTGGCACGCGAGCCCGTCGCGGACGTGGACACGAAACCAGATCCACTGACCTTGATGAGCAACCCTAACTCACGGCCGCCACGAATACCATACGCTTCTAAAGCTGCGACACGTTGCCCAAGTCACGCCACATTCACTGCATCGATGCGCCGTCAACCTACCCACGAGAAATCACGGGTGCTGGCCCCATCCGCTGGAGCGCACTCGCCGCGCGCACCGTAAGCAGCTTTGTACTATGACTGCGGCCTGCAAGAACTCCATAAAAAAGACTGGAAACTCTTCGGCATCGACGCATACGCTCGAACCAGCCCTGGCACCACATGGTAAAGCAATACCACCCAAGCCAGCCGAGGTGAACATGTCATGACCGCCGCGCGCTGCACTAACGCCTGCGATGATGCACGTTCAAATGCCGCCCACGCACCCGACAGCGCCGTGAACAAATGCTGGCCACTAAAGAAACTCCACTACATACGCAGCCAACGAATGACAAAAAGCTGGTACACTCGACGACCGACCTGCACCTCATGCCCCCCACGTGCACGGTAGGTCAGCGCCTTTGGGCCATTGCCGAAAAATCACACGGTGTGCCCTCGACCATTTCTGATGACTGGGTCGACCAATCCTATCGATGCGCTGCCCCTGTCTGGCCTAGGCAATCTAACCAGCGCATCAAGCATTCCGTTGCCAGGCCAGACGCCCAGCCGTTCACACTTGGAATGGAGAGACCTGAGAACCTCCAGTCCAACGTCACTGACATGTCAGATAGCCTGGCGCACTATTCCTGCCTGCCCTTTCGCCGTGCGATTTGGGGACCGGCCGCCACCTGCCGCAAGTAATCAATCGACATGTCGGGCAGCAAATCCCAGCGTGACGAATTGCCAGGGATCGGTTATGTAGCTCAGCTAAGGCGTTCCCAAATCTGCAACCATTTCGCAAATCGCGACCCAGAGTATTGCAGGCCCCCGCCTGGAACATCGCCTTGACCACTTCAGCCTTGACGGGGCCCTTCGGCGTGCGTTGCGCGGCGCTTGCCCATCGAAGGAAGCGCTTGTCCGCCCGCTGTCGCCAATGTTTCGCCCTTCCCCGGATCGCCGCGTCGCATTCACGGCTGCTGCGTTCGATGCTGCCGCCAGCGACCCTCTGGAAATCTGGCCCCATAAAGGTCAGCAGGCCACCCTGAAAGAACCTCGTCGCATCTTGATCCAAGTGATTGCATACAACCTTGCGGGCCACTACCCCTTTCACAAACGCCGTCGCGTTTTTGGCCGGATCAATAGAACGTCCCCACTGCCCGTCGGGGAAAAAAGGCACGCAATCGCTGTCGAATTTAAACACGCCCTGCTTGAAGATGCTCACATCATCGACATGCCACTGTCCACGCATGCGCCGGCTGCGCAATGCGCGCCACCTTGCGCGGCGGCGCCCACCCCAGCCGCCCACTGAACACAAACTGGAAAAGCACGCCCTACATGATTACGCTGCCCTCTGCCTCTGAAGCCCCAGCGGTCAGACATCTCGACGCGCACACACACACACACACACACACACACACACAC